CATGTGCCAAGAACGCGTGACACTCCTTGCGTAGGCATTTCTGAGCTTGGATACTTGAGATGATACGAAGAGTGGTACTTGGTTTGTCGCCCAAGATAACGAAAGTTTCGCCGGTTGGCAGATTAAGGCGAACGGCCTTATCGTAACATAGAATGTCCGCATGATGAGAACTCAGCCAATCCATGCCAATGATGACATCAAAACTCTTAATCGAGACTGGCATGAGGTTGATTGAGAATGGATGATCATTTAAAGTTAGGGTGCAATTTAAGTATATCTCCTTAGTGCCTTCGGTTTTCCCGTTGGCCATTTCTACTATGAATGGTTCACTCAATGACTGTGGTATTGATTTCAGCAGGCCTTTAAAGCCGTGACTCACAAAACTCCTTTCCGCGCCACTATCAAACAAAATGCATGCATACGAGTTATCGAGAAGGAACGTACCCGTAACAACTGTAGGGTCCGCAATGGCTTCATCCTGTCCCATTGCGAAAACTCGGCCCCTTCCACCGGTATTCCGGTTGTTTACCCTTGGGCAGTACTTGCGGTAGTGCCCTGTGTCTCCGCACTCGAAGCAGGCGCGGTTTACCCCGGTATTAGTGGTGGGAACGGATGGTTGGATTGGCCCTTTACAATAGCGGGCTGTATGTCCCTTTTTATTACAGTTGGTGCATTGAAGATTGGGCAAGGACCGTGGTGGTGGAAACTGCATCGGTTGCATTTAGGAAGTTTCCCAATGTATGAGCTTGTGGGGGAAGGGTTCGTAGGTACAGTAATAGCGTGTGTCGCTATCACTTGTTGTTTCCTGGGGTTTTCCTGGAGAGTTTGTCCCCTCCTTTTGTTCCAAGTCTTACTCTGGCCCTGAGTTTCCCTAGGTGGATTTGCAGTTGTCGAAATGATACCGGGTTTTACTCCGTGGTCGATGAGTCGCTGGGCCAGGCGCTTAGCACTGTTGTAGGTAGCAGGGCCGGAAGCTAGGACATGCCCTTGAATCTGGGGTGACAACCCCCAAATGTACCTTTCAACCTTCTTTGATTCTGGGTTGACCATGGTAGGGCACAGTGCAGCGAGGTCGTTGAACCTAGTGGTGTAGGTGATTAGGTCAGACCCAGTCATTTTCAGATTCCAGAGCTCCTGCTCAAGCTTTTGTACTTCGCCCCTTGGGCAGTATTCTTCCAGTAGTAGAACCTTTAGGTCGTCCCAACTCATGGCGTTGGCGACAGTGAGCGTCACTGAATTCACATGGCTTTTCCACCAAGTGAGGGCTCGATCTACAAAGGTGCAGGCAGCGAACTTGACTTTGCTTGCTTCTAGGCATGAGCAGATCTCGAAGACCGTTTCGGTCTTTTCGAACCATTGCATTAGTGCAATGACTCCTCCTGTTCCATTAAAAGTTTTTGGCTTAGCGTTAGAGAACTCCTTGTAGGTACATTCTCTTCCTTGGCCATGACCAGTGCCATGATTTGGATGATTCGTGCTGCTTCCCGCCCCTCCATTCCCTTGGGAGTTTATTTGCGAGAGGGCTGCAGTTACTGCTGCTGTGATAGCAGCCTGAACCATGGCCGGATCATAAGCTGGTGGTGGAGGTGGTGGTGGTGCCGTGCCCGGCCTGGGCCTTAGGTTTGGACGAGGAGGCATCTTGCTGCCAAAAGAAAAATATGGAAGAAAATTATAAGTTTTGGCAGTTCAAAGTTGAATGATATTGAATGAACTTCTAATAGTTCTAGGAAGTTGAGTTTAATTGACACAATGTTTTAAGCTTGAAAGTAAAGTTTGAATAGATGCACCAATGAATCGAACTATTTGCGCATGATTAACAACGGTAAGAAAAGCGGTATACCCTTATATATATTAAACATATAGTTGTGTTACAGCGGGGTCTAGACAAAATTTCTTGGCCTCTCTAAAGGCCTCCGGTTACGGAAAATTTTAAAGAAAGTAATACTTTTATCCGAAGTCCTAGTTTATAACAAAATTTGAGAGTTGGGCAAGTACTACTTGCGGTGCGCCTTGCGTTTAGAGCTCGACTCTGTGTCGGACTGCTTCGACCCCATGAGGCGTCTATCAAACGCAGCTTGTTGTTCTCTTAATTCTGCGAAGGCCGCGTTTGCTTGTGCTTGAAACGCTTCGGCGCGAATGTGGATGTCGTTCTGCATCAACTCTAGGCGGTTGATATCGGCCGTGTGAATTTGCACATCCACATTGATCTCTCGGATTCGGTTGGCTTGCACTCTAGATTGATAGCACTGGTTGGCGAGTTTGCCAACCATGACCGGAAGTGCGCGATCGGATGATCCCCCGCCTCTTACATCATAGAAGTCTCGGCACATGCCGTAAGGAGGGCGTAATCTTTGTTGTTGGCTCCAATGATGGAGGTGACTTCAATGTTGTTTTAATTATGATACTGACCATGTTATTGATATGAAATGAATGCATGCCTACTTTACAAAAACTAAATAAAATTTAATTTTTAAAAGTATGACTCTTACTCAGAGTGTTTTTGCCCAGTTGAGTTTATAGTTGTATACCAAAAAGAAATGGTTTTGATATACTTAATTCCCTATAAACAATGCTCTGATACCAATTTGTCACACCCCTAAACCAGAACGGCGGAAACGTTCGGGGGCGGAGGACATCATGTTCAATATCATAACAGTTCATAGAAAGGAAAGTACACACCACCATATATAATAAGTTTGCAAGATGTTTACATAGTTGTATTCATTACATGTTTAAAATAAAGGTACATAAACATCATTCAAAATGAAGTAATTAACACCAGCGCGTTAATCCCAAAAGTTGATTCCCAACCTGCTTAGCGATTTCCTGAGAATACAAGTTATTTCAAAGAAAAAGTGTCAACAATTAAGTTGGTGAGTCCATAAGTAGTTTAGAAAAATTGGATGCCATTCCAAAATGGGTGTATGTTTTCCAGTAAACGTAGCGTGTCAAAATGCAAAGAGTTGTGATTTGTGGTGTTGGAAATGAAAGCATTAGCTCCAGAAAATCCCATATTTTTCCTTAATAGTTGAAATATGATTTGTTGTGTTTTCCAAGAAAAACCCGTATTTTCTTATAAAAGTATGAGATGTATATAGTTGTTCATGTTATAAGTTGTAAATGATTGCACCGGGAAAATCCCTTATTTTCCTATTAGTTATTTGGTTTGTATGCAGGAAAAACCCTTATTTTCCTCACACATAATGCCAGTCTCTAAGACCGAAAATTTGCAAGAAACCGACGTTTCTCGTAAGTGTGTCATAGTTTTATATATAATAAAACTACGCGAAGATCGAACCGGTTGGATGAAGAATAGTTTAAATAACTACTCGCTCATCAAAACTGAATATCATAATAATTGTATATCCGATGAGTTTCTATAACCATACTAAACATAATATGCCTGTAACGACGTTCTTCAGGCGTCGCAGTGCTATGACAACTGTCACCCCAAAAGACGGACTGTAGCTAACAGTCAGGGTGCGGGATCATGACTTCCCGTATAGATCTATACACATTTGACACGTTCTCGTCGCGGGAGATTCTGGTTATAGACAGGACTTACTGCAGTACTTTCTAATAAAGAAAAGTAACGTTTGAAGATGTATGCGTCTCATGGATTCTCAATTAAGTCTATATTAAAGTGATAGTTTTGTATGCAAAGTTTATCCTTTTTCAAAATGTTTGATAAAGCAAAATCATAAGTTTTTAGAATGTATAAAACGATTTAACAATGAAAGATCATTATATTTCGTATAAGTCTAATGCACACAAAGTATGACAAGAGTTTTCCATAATAGTAATGAGTTCCAAGTGGTTTATTTGATAATATAAGTGAAGTGAAACTTTATAAAATACACGATAATAACCGTATGTTTACTTGTATTCCCCCCCTAAAAGAGTGTAAAAGTATTTAAAAATGTATTTAAAGTGTGTTAGAAAGGGGTATGAACTCACTTGACAACTTGAAGATAGCGAGATGGAAAAACGGCAGAGTTTCGTCTCGGGAAATGGATTTTCCTCGGAAATCTCGGGATTCCTCGGGAGAAAATCGACCTTCGGATCTTGCACGAAGCGACCAGGGCTTCGGGGTAGTACGAGCACGGAAAACGAGGAAAAACGCAAGAGAAATGAGAGAGAATGAGCCCTTTTCTCGGAGCCCTCGCATCCTTTTATAGGGGGCGGATCAGCTTGCGTACGCGGGGCGTACTCCCGTACGCGGCGCGTACGGGACATCACTGCTGACCGCATCCTCGGATGCAGCGTCTCGGATGGGACGGGAGAGGGTAGCTCGCATAGGGGCGACGTGGACGATCCGAGGCCGTGGCCTCTCAGTACGCGGGGCGTACTAGGGTACGCGGCGCGTACTATAGCCTTAGGCTGACTCCTCTTCGGATAATACCGAATTTTGAATAAAAATTATATATAAATTAATTATCAAACTTCAAAAATTCATATCTCCCTCATACGAACTCCGTTTTTGGCGTTCTTTATATCCCCGCGAAGGTGAGACTACGATCTACAACTTTCATTTAGATTCCGTTGGCAAATTCCGAAATTATTTTTATTATTTATTTATTAAAGTGACGTGTTTAAGGAATTTCTTTAAAAATTCATAACTTATTCATATGATGTCCGATTTGAACGTTCTTTTTATGCATGTTTGTAGTTTAACGATATCTATCACTTTCATTTAGACACCTAAGGTCAGAAAATGTTTTATTGAAACTTTGCGTTTTTACGTAACTTTGTATTGCTGGTTTTTGTCGGAAAAACTTATAATGAGCATAACTTCTTCGTTATAACTCGGATTTTTGTGTTATTTATATGTTTGGAAACCTTAAGATGATAACTACCACATAGTGTACTCCAAATAGAGTTTTTGAATACTTCATATTCTATTTCCTTTCTCAAGGAGGTTACATGACTCGATCTTTACTGACATGAAATAACGGGTTGTTACACATGATCGGTGTACCAAGGACAAAATCCCACCTCCATCACCGGCAAGACAATGTGTAAATGAATTTGTTGCAATCCCTTGTGAAGAAATTTCGGAAATGACAGATATACCTTGCTGACCTAAACCCAAAACCCCATCAACTAGTCGGTTAGTTTTAATGAAGTGTCTAGTTTCAAATGTGCTACAGTTGTTCCATGCATAATTCATTAAATCAACCGTTTAATTTATAGAGAATGAAAGAAGGAAGAGAAATGAAATTCTATAGTCATGATAAATGAAAACTTACCCAAATCCCATTTTTAAAGTGGAGATTGTAAGTGCACCCGTTATGAGAACATGTTGGGGTGCTTGTAGGGTCATAGAGCATAAGGTAAACTTATCGTTCCCCTTGATGTCATTTAGTGAAAATACTAATGTTTGACCATTGACCGAAATGCTCTCTAAATTTATAATATAATGCCACCTGCAAACGTATATACAAGGAAATTAGAAATAGATTGTGCTTCTTTTAAAGTACAAGCTACAAGTCCACTGCAAGTAGAATAATAAGTTTGTATTTCAAGAAATTTTAAAATCATAAACAAAAAATGAAGTAAGTTCGAGTACGTACCAAACAACAGGAAGATCATAAGTTCCTAGTATAGCGAATGCAACAACACCTCGTGGATCATAATACTTGTTTAATATCTTGTTGTGTCTTAAACTATCTCTATCTCTGAGTTGACTCAACTCAATGTGATGGTTTAGGGGAAAAGCTCTTTCTAGCGAGAGAGTGGCCGGAAACCTAGAAAGAACATCGACAACATGCAACAACATGAGATAGAGTAATGTCGAAGTACCACTATATTTGACAACAATAGAAACCGGTATATCCTTATCTCTCGTATTTCTTCCCCTGTATCATAGTAATTCTACAAATCATCATAAGAGCACACATTTATAAGCATATTTGTGATGCTAGTGTACAAGTAGGTTATGGCCCCACTTAAAAATAGGTAATTAAAATTTAATCCATCCGCTGAAAATTTAATTTAATGACAATAATACCCTTAGTTAAAAAAATTGTTATTCAAATAGCAAAGGCATTCATAAAAACAGTTATAGTGTTTGTACGTGTCTTGGTGCATGTGGTTTTAGCTTTTGTGATGTCGTTTATAATCACAATAAAATAAAAGACGAATTAATGGTTCAAAAGATGACACACGTACGATTGTGGACCACCACATCTACACTATCGGCAAGTTTTTTTTTTTTGAACCGGCAAATACAAATATTATAATCTACTCTTAAACTAACACCTAATTCCACTTTAGTCCACCATGGTTTTTTGAACCCTCAACCTCAAGAAAAAATAATTATATTTAAAATGTATTATGTAGCTTCGCTTCAAGAACTATCGTCACATTACTAGATTATGTTTTCAAGCAAAAGAAAACAACATATGATTTCAACATTTAAAGCATTCCAAACATCAGCACATCAATTCCATCATCAAGAAAAACATTTATCATTTTAGAATTAAGATGGTCATCCGATTTTAGAAAAACAAAACAAACAAACAAACAAACATAACAACTTTGATACTCAAACTTCTGGGGACAAAAAGAAACTCTTGAACTCATCCATTTGATTCAGTTTTATCTCATTTTACTACACGTGAATTTGACAAAAGTAGTAACAAGACAGCATGACTTCAGCTCTGGTTTTAGGGGAAAAAACAAAAAAAAAACAAAACAAAATTGATGATTCTTTAAAGTCATTGATTTAGTGGGAAAACAAGCTCTGATTTCAAGTGAAAGAGGAAAACCGAAGACATAGCAAGAGAAAGTGGAAAATTGAAGACCTTAACTGCAGAAGATGTCGAAAAAGGAGGCGTATGTGGTAAAGAAGTCGACAGCAGAGGTTCTGTAGCGTAGCAGTCGGAGCTGGAGACTACGCCAACGACGGTAATGTCAGAGAGGAACGAAGCTGAGCAGATCGGGATGGAGGAGTAGCAACATACTTTTCTTAAAACCCTTCTTTAACAACATACTTTGCTTATAACAATAACAAATGGATGATGTCAACAAAATGTTACTACCAACTATAAATCCAATAAACAATAACAAAGTAAAGTAATTATACTTTTCTACAAAATGTCTTCAATTTCTTGAGATAAGGTATTAGCTACTTCTCAACACCTTCGAGGGGAGATTAAAAGAAAAGTCTGCAAAGGCGATATCAGGCATGATTGGTGTACGAAGGACCAAAAGCCCACTTCCATCACCGGCAAGACAACGTGTAAATGAATTTGGTGCAATCCCTTGTGAAGAAATTTTGGAAATGACAGATATACCTTGCTAACCTAAACCCAAAACCCCATCAACTGGTTGGTTAGTTTTAATGAAGTGTCTAGTTTCAAATGTGCTACAGTTGTTCCATGCATAATTCATTAAATCAACCGTTTAATTTATAGAGAATGAAGGAAGGAAGAGAAATGAAATTCTATAGTTGATGATAAATGAAAACTTACCTAAATCCCATTTTTAAAGTGGAGATTGTAAGTGCACCCGTTATGAGAACATGTTGGGGTGCTTGTAGGGTCATAGAGCATAAGGTATACTTATCGTTCCCCTTGTTGTCATTTAGTGAAAATACTAATGTTTGACCATTGACCGAAATGCTCTCCAAATTTATAATATAATGCCACCTGCAAATGTATATACAAGGAAATTAGAAATAGATTGTGCTTCTTTTGAAGTACAAGCTACAAGTCCACTGCCAACAGCATAATAAGTTTGTATTTCAAGAAATTTTAAAATCATAAAAAAAAATGAAGTAAGTTCGAGTACGTACCAAACAACAGGAAGATCATAAGTTCCTAGTATAGCGAATGTAACAACACCCCGTGGATCATAATACTTGTTTAATATCCTGCCGTGTCTTAAACTATCTCTATCTCTGAGTTGACTCAACTCAATGTGATGGTTCTGTGATGGTTATGGGGAAAAGCTCTTTCTAGCGAGAGAGTAGCTGGAAACCTAGAAAGAACATCGACGACATGCAACAACAAGAGATAAAAGAAAGCGGTATCCTTATCTCTCGTCTTTCTTCCCCTTTATCATAGTAATTCTACAAATCATCACAAGAGCACACATTTATAAGCATATTTGTGAACCCAGTGTACAAGTAGAGTATGGCCCCACTTAAAAATGGGTACTTAAAAATTAATCCAACCACTGAAAATTTAATTTAATGACAATAATACCCTTAATTAAAAAAACTTGTTATTCAAATAGCAAAGGCATTCATAAAAAAATTTAAAGTGTTTGTACGTGTCTCGGTGCATGTGGTTTTAGCTTTTGTGATGTCGTTCATAATCACAGTAAAATAAAAGACAAATTAATGGTTAAAAAGATGACACACATACGAGTGGACCCCAACATTTACAGTCTCGGCAACTTTTTTTTTGAACCGGCAAATACAAATATTATAATCTACTCTTAAAGTAACACCTAATTCCACTTAAGTCCACCACGGGACTTGACACTCAACCTCAAGAAAAAATAATTATATTTAAAATGTATTATGTAGCTTCGCTTCAAGAACTATCATCACATTACACGATTATGTTTTCAAGCAAAAGAAACCAACATACGATTTCAACATTTAAAGCATTCCAAACATCAGCACATCAATTCCATCATCAAGAAAAACATTTATCATTTTAGCGTTAAGATGGTTATCTTATTTCAGAAAAACAAAACAAACAAATAAACAAACAAACAAACATAACAACTTTGATACTCAAATTTCAGGGGACAAAAAGAAACTCTTGAACTCATCCATTTGATTCAGCTTTATCTCATTTTACTACACGGAAATTTGACGAAAGTAGTAATAAGCCAACATGACTTCAGCTCTGGTTTTAGGGAAAAAATAAAAAAACAAAACAAAATCAATGATTCTGTAAAGTCGCTGATTTAGTGGGAAAACAAGCTCTGATTTAAAGTGAAAGAGGAAAACCGAAGACATAGCAAGAGAAAGAGGAAAACTGAAGACCTTAACTGCAGAAGATGTCGGAAAACGAGGCGTATGTGGTAAAGCAGTCGACACCAGAGGTGCTGTAGCGTAGCAGTCAGAGCCAGAGATGACGCCGACGACGGTAATGTCAGAGAGGAACGAAGCTGAGCAGATCGGGATGGAGGAGTTGCAACATACTTTTCTTAAAACCCTTCTTTAGCAACATACTTTGCTTATAACAATAACAAATGGACGATGTTAATAAAATGTTACTACCAACTATAAATCCAATAAACAACAACAAAGTAAAGTAATTATACTTTTCTACAAAATGTCTTCACTTTCTTGAGATGAGGTATTAGCTACTTCTTAACACCTTTGAAGGGAGATTAAAAGAAAAGTCTGCAAAGGCGGTAATAGCAACATCTCAACCAACAAAATCTCTTTCATGACTTTCAGACTTTGTAGTTGTATCTTCAGAGTTTGTTTTCAGTTGGCATTTTAGTCAGGTAAGGAAATGGGTGTGTTCAACAATTCACTTCTTCGTGGGGAAAGTTGTGACATCCCGGAATTTAGGTCAAGACTGTGAACGGTCAAGTTCACGTTGAATCTCATTGTAGTTTTACTCATTGAGTTTTAACGCATCTAAAAGAAAATAAATGAGTTATTTCAACTATTATAAGATACCAGATGGTATCATACTTCCAAATGTGTAATTTCGCCAACAAATCAAACAGCTCAAACTTCAACTTAGTATTGCGTCTGAAAAACTAAAACTTTATATTAAGCTGTTGTGAGAAAAAAAAACTCTCTAGTCTCGTAGTACTTGTTTTTCGGATTTCGAAAAAAATAAAGATCATCCAAAACAGATTTTGTATGCAAAAGATACGACCATCTTAAGAATCCAAAACAAGTATAATACTGATTTTCTTAAAACCACTAAAATTGTTTCTATTAGTTGAGGGACTTCACACCTCAAATGGGAATTCCGAAAACATTTTTGGACTCATGCTAAAGCCTAATATTTAATTTTTTATTTGAAATATTTTTCATAAAAATATTTATAAAAGTAAAAAATCAGACGTTTTCAACTTAATTAAACACGAAACTTTAAACGCCATTTCATGGAGATCAATTAACAGAATTCAATTCCGTTTACATTTTTGGAATCACCACGACCTGAACATTAAGCACACTTTTATAAGCTAGAATTGTGAACACATGTAAAAATTCATTTTTCTAAATATTCAATTTCCTTAGCATCATAAGGAGTGCTCCATCTTCCTCTCAACATATATCAATTATATTTTGCAGAATTAATAATGCTTGGCCGTTGACCGAAAGGCTCTCCTAATTTATATTATAATGCCATCTGCAAACATATTTAGAAGGAAATTACAAATAAATGGTGCTTCTTTTGATTTAGTATGGTAAAAGATATACACATGTTTGCTGTGGACTTAATACAAAAAGAAAACTTACTTTGATTTGACAAGATGAGTAAAGACGATATCAGGCATGATTGGTTTACGAAGGACCAAAAGCCTACCTCCATCACCGGCAAGACAATGTATAAATGAATTTGGTGCAATCCCTTGTGAAGAAATTTCGGAAATGACAGATATACCTTGCTGACCTAAACCCGAAACCCCATCAACTGGTCGGTTAGTTTTAATGAAGTGTCTAGTTTCAAATGTGCTACAGTTGTTCCATGCATAATTCATTAAATCAACTGTTTAATTTATAGAGAATGAAAGAAGGAAGAGAAATGAAATTCTATACTTGATGATAAATGAAAACTTAACCAAATCCCATTTTTAAAGTGGAGATTGTAAGTGCACCCGTTATGAGAACATGTTGGGGTGCTTGTAGGGTCATAGAGCATAAGGTATACTTATCGTTCCCCTTGTTGTCATTTAGTGAAACTACTAATGTTTGACCATTGACCAAAATGCTGTCCAAATTTATAATATAATGCCACCTGCAAACGTATATACAAGGAAATTAGAAATAGATTGTGCTTCTTTTGAAGTACAAGCTACAAGTCCACTGCCAGCAGCATAATAAGTTTGTAATTCAAGAAATTTTTAAATCATAAACAAAAAATGAAGTAAGTTCGAGTACGTACTAAACAACAGGAAGATCATAAGTTCCTAATATAGCGAATGTAACAACACCCCGTGGATCATAATACTTGTTTCATATCCTACTATGTCTTAAACTATCTCTATCTCTGAGTTGACTCAACTCAATGTGATGGCTCAGGGGAAAAGCTCTTTCTAGCGAGAGAGTGGCCGGAAACCTAGAAAGAACATCGACGACATGCAACAACAGGAGATAGAGTAATGTCGAAGTAACCCTATTTTTGACAATAATAGAAACCGGTATCCTTATCTCTCGTATTTCTTCCCCTTTATCATAGTAATTCTATAAATCATCATAAGAGCACACATTTATAAGCTTATTTGTGAAGCTAGTGTATAAGTAGGGTATGGCCCCACTTAAAAATGGGTACTTAAAAATTTAATCCATCAGCTGAAAATTTAATTTAATGAAAATAATACCCTTAATTAAAAAAAACTGTTATTCAAATAACAAAGGCATTCATAAAAAAAGTTTTAGAGTGTTTGTACATGTCTCGGTGCATGTGGTTTTAGCTTTTTTGATGTTGTTCATAATCACAGTAAAATAAAAGACAAATTAATGGTTAAAAAGATGACACACATACGATTGTGGACCACCACATTTACACTCTCGGCAAGTTTTTTTTTTGAACTGGCAAATACAAATATTATAATCTACTCTTAAACTAACACCTAATTCCACTTAAGTCCACCGCGGGGCTTGAACCCTCAACCTCAAGAAAAAAATAATAATATTTAAAATGTATTATGTAGCTTCGCTTCAAGAACTTTCATCACATTACTAGGTTATGATTTCAAGAAAAAGAAAACAACATATGATTTCAACATTTCAAGCATTCTAGACATCAGCACATCAATTCCATCATCAAGAAAAACATTTATCATTTTAGCATTAAGATGGTCATCTGATTTCGGAAAAACAAAACAAACAAACAAACATAACAACTTTGATACTCAAATTTCAGGTGACAAAAAGAAACTCTTGAACTCATCCATTTGATTAAGTTTTATCTGAATTTACTACACGAGAATTGGACGAAAGTAGTAATAAGACAACATGACTTCCACTCTGGTTTTAGGAAAAAAAACAAAAAAACAAAACAAAATCGATGATTCTGTAAATCTCTGATTTAGTGGGAAAACAAGCTATGATTTAAAGTGAAAGAGGAAAACCAAAGACATAGCAAGAGAAAGAGGAAAACTGAAGACCTTAACTGTAGAAGATGTCGGAAAAGGAGCCGTATGTGGTATAGCAGTCAACATTAGAGGTGGTGTAGCATAGCAGTCGGAGCCGGAGACGACGCCGATGACGGTAATGTCAGAGAGGAACGAAGTGGAGCAGATCGGGATGGAGGAGTAACAACATACTTTTCTTAAAACCCTTCCTTAGCAACATACTTTGCTTATAACAATAAAAAATGGACGATGTTAATAAAATGTTACTACCAACTATAAATCCAATATACAATAACAAACTAAAGTAATTATACTTTTCTACAAAATGTCTTTACTTTCTTGAGATGAGGTATTAGCTACTTCTCAACACCTTCGAAGGGGGATTAAAAGAAAAGTCTGCAAAGGCAGTAATAGCAACATCTCAACCAACAAAATCTCTTTCATGACGTTCAGACTTTGTAGTTGTATCTTCAGAGTTTGTTTTCAGTTGGCAGTTTAGTCAGGTAAGGATATGGGTGTGTTCAACAATTCACTTCTTCGTGGGGAAAGTTGTGACATCCCGAAATTTAGGTCAAGACTGTGAATGGTCAAGTTCACATCGAATCTCATTGTAGTTTGACTCATTAAGTTTTAACGTATCTAAAATAAAATAAATGAGTTATTTCAACTATTATAAGATACTAGATGGTATCATACTTCAAAATGTGTAATTTCGCCAACAAATCAAACAGCTCAAACTTCAACTTAGTATTGCGTCTGAAAAACTAAAACTTCATATTAAGCTGTTGTGAGAAAAAAACTCTCTAGTCTCGTAGTACTTGTTTTCCGGATTTCAAAAAAAATAAAGATCATCCAAAACGGAGTTTGTATGCAAAAGATACGACCATCTTAAGAATCCAAAACCAATATAATACTGATTTTCTTAAAACCACTAAAATCGTTTCTATTAGTTGAGGTACTTGCAAACCTCAAATGGGAATTCCGAAAATATTTTTGGACTCAAACTATAGCCTAGGTAACAAACTTGTTGAAAGCGTTCACATCTAGGATTTAACCTGCTATAGCAGGTCATAATGGTCATATGTGAACACTTCCAAAAAGTTTGTTACCTAGATATATATACAAAAAAAAGATAGTTACCCAGATGTGAACATAGCGAAAAGTTAATTACCTTGATAAGTCATATTCCCAAATTTAATCCATCCACTGAAAATTTAATTTAACGACAATAATACCTTTAATTAAAAAAATTGTTATTCAAATAACAAAGGCATTCATAAAAAAAGTTAGAGTATTTGTACATGTCTCGGTGCATGTGGTTTTAGATTTTATGATGTCGTTCATAATCACAGTAGAATAAAAGACAAATTAATGCTTAAAGAAATGACACACATACGAATGTGGACCACCACATTTACACTCTCAGCAAGTTTTTTTTTGGAACCGGCAAATACAAATATTATAATCTACTCTTAAACTAACACCTATTTTCACTTAAGTCCACCACGGGACTTGAACCCTCAACCTCAAGAAAAAATAATTATATTTAAAATGTATTATGTAGCTTCGCTTCAAGAACTTTCATCACATTACTAGGTTATGTTTTCAAGCAAAAGAAAACAACATATGATTTCAACATTTCAAGCATTCCAGACATCAGCACATCAATTCCATCATCAAGAAAAACATTTATCATTTTAGCATTAAGATGGTCATCTGATTTCAAAAAAACAAAACAAACAAACAAACAAACTTAACAACTTTGATACTCAAATTTCAGGTGACAAAAAGAAACTCTTGAACTCATCTATTTGATTAAGTTTAATCTCATTTTACAACACGGGAATTTGACGAAAGTAGTAATAAGACAACATGACTTCCACTCTAGTTTTAGGGAAAAAACAAAAAAACAAAACAAAATCGCTGATTCTGTAAAGTCACTGATTTAGGGGGGAAAACAAGCTCTGATTTCAAGTGAAAGAGGAAAACCGAAGACATAGCAAGAGACAGAGGAAAAAAGAAGACCTTAACTGTAGAAGATGTCGGAAAAGGAGGCGTATGTTGTAAAGCAGTCGACCCCAGAGGTGCTGTAGCGTAGCAGTCGGAGTCCTAGACGACGCCGACGACGACGATGTTAGAGAGGAATGAAGCTGAGCAGATCGGGATGGAGGAGTAGGAACATACTTTTCTTAAAACCCTTCTTTAGCAACATACTTTGCTAATAACAATAACAAATGGATGATGTCAACAAAATGTTACTACCAACTATAAATCCAAAAAACAATGTCTTTAATTTCTTGAGATGAGGTATTAGCTACTTCTCAACACCTTCGAAGGGAGATTAAAAGAAAAGTCTGCAAAGGCATTAGTAGCAACATCTCAAAGAAAAAAAAATCTCTTTCATGACTTTCAGACTTTGTAGTTGTATCTTTAGAGTATGTTTTTGGTTGGTGTTTTAGTCAGGTAAGGATATGGGTGTGTTCAACAATTCACTTCTCTGTGGGGAAAGTTGTAACATCATGGAATTTAGGTCAAGACTGTGAACGGTCAAGTTCACGGTGAATCTCTTTGTAGTTTGACTCATTGAGTTTTAACGCATCTAATATAAAATAAATGAGTTATTTCAACTATTATAAGATACCAGATGGTATCATACTTCCAAATGTGTAATTTTGCCAAGAAATCAAACAGCTTAAACTTCAACTTAGTAATGTGTCTGAAAAACTAAAACTTCATCGTAAGATGTTGTGAGAAAAAAACTCTCTAGTCTCGTAGTACTTGTTTTCCGGATTTCAAAAATATAAAGAACGTCCAAAACAAAGTTTGTATGCAAAAGATACGATCATCTTACGAATCCAAAACTAGTATAATACTGATTTTCTTAAAACCACTAAAATCGTTTCTATTAGTTGAGGGACTTCCACACCTCAAATGGGAATTCCGAAAACATTTTTGGACTCAGGCTATAGCCTACTATTTAATTTTTTATTTGAAATATTTTTGATAAAAATATTTATAAAAGTAAAAAATCAGACGTTTTCAACTTAATTAAACACGAAACTTTAAACGTCATTTCATGGAGATCAGTTAACAAAATTCAATTTCGTCTACATTTTTGGAATCTGCACGACCTGAACATTAAGCACACTTTTATAAAATTTATATGAATCGATATGAGGGCAAGAGAATCGAGGTACACTTCATGATAAATAAATATATAAAAAATGTATTATAGTTACTAATGTGAAAAATGTTTATAAGTGTATAAAGAAAAATTGGACACCCATTATATATAAATTTCCAATTCTGTATATACCTCATAAACATACATTAATATGTGTTAATTTTAAAATTTAGAGACCAAGATTAACAAATTAACAATTTTACATTCTTAATGTATTAGTTTAAATTTATATACATGTATTATACAAGTTATAGAATAAATTCAGGACAAATGAAAATAGATTATAATTATCAAGAAAATGGTTATAAAAAGCCTTAAATATACTTCTGTATACAAATGGAAAACAACCAATAATACGCACAATATAAAGAATCTAATGCATAAAAGACATACATAATTAAAAATGTACATAAATACATACTCAAATACATGTACGATATGGACCTTATTGACCAAATACCAATACATACATATTAAACAAATACAAAACAAGGAAACCTATACAATAAATTTTTTATCACTCCAGCTCATGACTTATTGTACTACTCACTTGGAGTCCAAGTTGTATCCAAAACAAAACTACACACAAAGATAAACAATCCCATACTCAAAGCTAAATTGGCTATAGAGAACTCATATCCTCGAAAAAGGAATAGAACTACAGCAACTATCCTCTAATAAATGTATTATTAATATGAATTACACTACTTCTTGGCTACTTACGGTATGAGGAATCTGGTTTGAAAGGCCGCTTGGTTTGTTGGATTTCAGAATGGCTTAATTGCTAAAATGATCATGCCCTCCGGTTTGTTTCCTGTATGGCCCTCGTTTGTAATCGGTTGTCTTGGAGTACAAAAACAAAACTTAATAATACTACAAACCCCACCAACAATAACATATAAGAGATATATATATACTCTGACCCGTGTAGAGAACACTTAATAAAATTCTAACATGCCTCTAACTAAAACTACCAACTCAACCCTTTAGGTCAAACGCCTCAATTATGGTTAGAGCCGTACATAAGCCATACCATAAATAAACCTGGAACATACGCATATGTTATTTATGGTTAGGCCGGTGAACAACCAACCTTGAGTAAGGAGTTTGACAGACTACAATGGTTGAAAGTTTTAGAGATTGAAGGATGTTCTCAAGATTCACTGTAGAAACTTGGTACCTTAGAAACCTTATATCAAACCCGAAAGCAACGTATACATTTTAAAAATACTTAAAAATATGGGATAACATTAAGATTTTTTAGTTCGCCGAAACTCAAAGAAGAACAATGAACCAATAGGACCACTACTGTCATAGCAGAGAAACCCGTAGTTCTCCATCGAACATTCAATAATCTCTAGACTTCTCTCAATATCATTTGAAATTAGTAGAATTTCAATTCTCTCTCTATAAATCGGAAGTCTGTAGGATTTCTGGAATCGAGCACTCTCTATAATTTGGAACCTTACCATGAAAGGATTGGAGGTGATTGCTTACACCTCCCGATTTAACAACCTTACAAACCCTTACCCAGGAATGGTGAACCCGAAATACAGAGAGACTGAAAGCTACATCTGAGGATTAGCCTTAGCAGTTCACGGTCTGGTTACTGTATCTAGACCCACTATCTTTGACAGTGCTAAGCAATTGACATATCAATTGACTGAGCAGTGTACCCGTTAGGTTACCATAACCCCACAAACAGAAAAGAACGAAACTGAGAGTACAAAAAGGAAGTTCCATAACAATTCAAATGGGGACTTCAAGCACCGCAAACCCAGTCCAAAACTTGTAGTTGTGTACATCGCAATCACAAACACACCTATTCAATCAAAGTCCTACTCTAGGACTTCACTCCACCGTACCAATGCAAATTTTCACCATGTCAGAAGTTGCATGGCTTGAAACATCTGTAACTTAAGAGTTCACACCTCTATGTTTTGTAGAAAGGCCCCAAATAACCACGTCTTTCACATCAACCTAATACTTATGACCGCTGGAACTTTCGATGTGATCGTCAGAATGGATTAGTTATCACTTCATCATTACAAGAAAAAGGCCCTTTTACGACGCGTAAACCATGACACTCGTTGTTTTATGTTACGCAAAAGAGAGTGACATTAAAAATGTGTCATCTCTTCAAAAAAATTTAGGATTTAGGTCACGCATTATTGCGTGCCGTTAAATTAGTGTCTCATGTAAAAAAATTAAAAACACGGAGGGCACTTTATAAAAAATGTGCGCCCTCTGTGAATGTCGCTTTATATTTTTTTTAAGGAACGCGCGTCTCTTTTCTCTTCTAAGAGGGAAAATGAAATCCGAAAAAATTTTGAACCCCGCTTTTTCTCCTACATTCGTATCGATCTGTTCTCTAACATCTATCTCATCTCCTTCGTCTCCGCCCCTCGCCCACCTCCACTACCTCCAACCCACATCGACTCTTTAAGTCTGCACAACGTAGCTAGGGCTTTTTTTGATCGGAGGTTATGGTGAGGAGGAATTTAGGGAAAACAATGAGGATGAGGAGGAGGAAAAAGGTTAATTATCTGATTTCATTCCTGTTGGTGTTGATTTTCTCATTGATGTTCGACGTCTTCTCTCGTGGTGATGGTCGTCGGACACGTTAAGGTTTTGTTGAAGGCGTCGTTGGAAAAAGCAATGGAGGTTCTAGTGCGATTTTCTAGATTACCGGTGGCGGTATTGGTGCTAGTGGTGGCTCTGGCTCCTAATCTATTAGTCATCATGGATTCATTTGCGATTAGTTGTATTAGTGGTTGCTTCCTCATCACCATCCTCACCAATTTCTAGGTCAGTTCCCTCATTCCTCTTTCCTCCCCTTTCCAGATCTCGATCTCCAACTACTATCTTTTACTCCAAATAATGCACTGATCTCTTGTTTCTCTACCTTTCACCCGATATTGTATTCCTCTTTTTTTTTCTTCAAGTTTCCAAGGGAAGAACCCCGATTTTACAAGGCCAAGGTGTGATTGCACTAAGGTATGAAAAGGATGTTTCTACCCTGCCCTATTTCTTCAGTCGTTCAACAAATAATAGGGTAGGCAATTTCTCATTCATATCTTGACTTCATCTTCTCTATCAAGAAAAAGGCTTATGATTTTTCCCTTTCAGCTTATAGCTATTGGCTTAGAACTAGCTGCTATTTGGGAAGCTATCTGTCAAGCACATGTTTGAGTTTGTATTCACACCATTTGATGATGCTAGTAACCCTATCATAGCTCAGGTAAAGATGTTTAAATTAAATCCAGTTATCTTAATTCTTAACATTAAAGAATCAGATAATCATAATCATACTAAAAACCCCTTTAATTTAGTGTTTACAATTTTAATTTGACTTTTTGGATTTAAATTTTTTTAGGCAGCTTTCAACGTAGTATATATTTTAGCACTATAAATTTTTATATATATGTTATTTTTTTCAGGTGGGGACATTGTAAAAAGCTTGCACCTGAATGGAAGAAGGCTGCAAAGAATTTACAAGGAAAGGTGAAGCTTGGACATGTGAACTATGATGACGAAAAGGTAATCTTTAATTTCTATTCTTTTTATCTAAAACAATATTATTATTTTTTATTATTACTAACTGATTATGTTTTTTTTTTCTTTCAGTCTTTAATGAGCAGGTTTAAGGTACAAGGGTTCCCAACTATATTAGTATATGGTGCAGATAAAGAGAGTCCAATCATTTGCCCTTGTTCAACTAGAAACAAATGTTGCTCCTCCTGAAGTGATAAAGTTGACTAGCTCAGTGAGTTTTTCGAATCCCTTTTATAATTTTTCAGGATTTCCCTTTTTGCCCCTGGTAAAATCATGAATTTTCCATTTTAGGATGTGATGGAAGAGAAATGTGGTTCAGCTGCCATCTGTTTTGTTTCCTTCCTCCCTGATATTTTGGACTCTAAGGCTGAGGGAAGGAATAAGTATATAGAAATTCTTCTATCAGTTGTTGAAAAGTTCAAAAGGAGTCCTTACAAGTATAAAAATTTGATTATAGCATTTTACTTATATAAAATAAGAGTAAATTACAAATTTGGTCCCTATGTGGCTATGCTTCACTCAAAATCTCAATTGTTCCTGGATACAGGAAACACTTCAGGCTTCTCCCCTTTGGAGTTCAACCAAAATTAACATATGATGAGATGAAAATTCTTAGAAGACTTGAAAGGCCTTTACCATGTCATTTTGCTTTAGGTTAGTCACTCTCACTCCAAATTCTAGTTCTATATGTTAGCGAACCTGATACATATGCCCTAAATCTACGTTCAATCGATGAATTTCCTTCTCAAATCTTGGTTTCCTCCTTTCATTTGGCTGTTTCTTATCATCCTCTTATTTAAACACACATTTTTATAACTTCCCCCATTGTTCGTTTGATAGAGCTTAAGCAGAGGCATTAAACAGGTATGCCTTAATGTCTTCTGGCTTCTTCTGACGATTTTCTCTTTTTCTGTAGTTAAATTGCTGGATATGCTTCACTTTTTATCATGAACTAAGTTCAATTTAATTTGAAGAATGTAAAGACCTGATGATTGCTTTCTTCTGAAATGTGATTGAGTAGACTGAATGAGTTGCCCCCAAACAATTTACTTAACATTACTTTTAATTACATATTCACTGTTTTTGCTGTTTGTTCCTCATATAAGATAACAACTTATGTACTACTACAGATGATTGTATTATTCGTCCAACCAAATGGGCTTTCATCACCAGGGACTGGTTATGCAAAGTTTCTTCTCCAAATAGTTATTCTTATTCAATATGTTCCCAGATTATACCGATTCCTGCCTCTTCTTGCTAGACAATCTTCAAGTGGATTTATATTTGATGTCGGGGGCAAGGAAGGAATTTTAGCAGTGGAACTTATTCCATCTGATGGAGGAGATGCCTGAGGAGGGGCATTTTCAGGGGCATTTTTGGAAATATGAAGTTTTTCCCATATATCAGAACAATTAGTCTTCCAAAAATTCATAGAGGTACTTCCCTCATTTTACCTGTGTATGTGTTGCTATGCCCCTCATTTGAGCCCGACTACTTTGTAGGTTGGCTATTTGTTGTCTAAGCCTGATCAATTGGCGTGCTAAAATCTTTGTTGCTGCGTGATCAAACCACATGTTACTACTTATGAATAGTTAGACGTAATAAAAAAAAACTTAGGAATCCTAATTTAAGTAGATCTTTATTGCACACCAATTGTTTGATGATATGCCTTAGTGACAATGTGTATGATTTTTTTCTTCTTATATGATAATTGTATCATATTCATATGTAGCATTGAGTTTCTTTTTTTGTTTGACTTGTTTCAGATTACGAAGTTCCCATTTCCTACTCCCCCAGAAGCTAAATCATTGGTTGAAGAAAAGGTTTGTTTAAAGTCTCTTGAAGCTAAATCATTTTGTATACTGTAATGCAGATTTTGACAACGTTAAAGAGGAATTTATGCATACCAATAACATGCAAAATACACCTCTTGAACTCAACTGGAGATATGTAGAATTGGCCAGACGAATTGAAAAAACTGGGGTTTCTGCTATTGTTGTTCATGGAAGGTAATAATTTATAAAAAATTGATTGAATTATGTCTGTTTGTCATTGATATAGGGGCGTTTCTTTTTGACTTAATACATACACACTTTAATGTTTGCCCTATATTCAAATATCAAATTCTAAGGCCTAGAATTTACACACAATAACAGACAGTAGGTAAGTGTCACATAGAAGGGTAAAATTGTCATTTACTCACATTCAGGCAATTCATGCAGTCTAAAAAAGAGATAGTCTTATGTGTACAACACTAACTCCAGACATACATCGTTAATCATATTCAACACTTAATGGAAAAAATAAAATGCCCTAAGATCTATTTGATTAAGCAATTCCCTTTTTCCCACAATCAATGCAACATTAATTAATTTTTAATCTCCCACATTAATTAAGAGACATTGCATGTTTTTTGTTAAGTGAATTGCAGAAAAGTTTCAGACAGACCAAGAGATCCTACAAACTGGAATGAAATTGCACATGTTTCATTAGGAATGATAACATTAGGATTCCTAACAGTAACAGATGGATATGTTTTGCTATGAACTGATTTGTAAGATTCATTGACCTGAAGACTAAGGGCCCTCATTGTTGGAAGTATTGGAGAGTTTTTATCAGCTGCTTTGCTGCCTCCAGAGCCATTAGCTGTAAGTGTTAACAGTTCTTGATGACTTGAATCTTAGTGAATGATTCAAATTGCTAAATGATAGAACTTTAATTTGTTCTAGGTCCAAAATGTTGTGGATTTTTCAAAGATGATTGGAGCATTAGATGTAAATGAAAATCTTACACATCTTGGTTAGTTTATATTAATATATTTATAAAAGTTTATTTCCTAAGATTATCTTTTCTCATTTTTTCAAAATATACGTAAATATCTGGTAATGCTTCCATTGGATCCGAAATTAGGGAAAATGCTAATAATGGGTGCTTTTTTTTCGTTGCTTTGATCATATTCTTACAATTGTTGCTGGACTTAGTGTTAGGGATCATTTTCTTTTGCCTCAAGAGAACAAAGACGTGAGTAATCCAACTACTTTCACACAAGGGCATTTTGGTCTTTTCCTGATATCTTTTGTATGTCTATTTCAGCAAGCTGGTACAACAAAATCAATATTTTCTGCAAAGGATTACAATGATCATATGGCACTTGTGTGTGAATATGAAGGATGGAAAGAAGCTGAAAGAGAAGGATATGCTTATAAATATTGCTGGAGGAATTTCCTTTATGCTCAAACACTTCAAGCTATACATTCTTTAAGGAATCGTTTATCCATATTTTAAAAGATGCTCAATTACTTGAGACTAAATCGGGGATTAGCAACAGATTAAGTCATAATCAATCATCGGTTAGCGCCATTATATGCTCAGGCCTTTTTCCTGGCATTGCATCTGTAGTGGTATGTATGCTTAATGCTTATTTATTTAATTTACAATTTACAATACAATTGATAGATATATGAATCCATATGTTACTTAATTTTGTTCTTTTTTATTTTTAATATGTGCAGCATAGGGAGACATCAATGTCCTTCAAAACTATAGATGATGTCCAAGTCTTACTCTATGCAGTAAGTATTAAAGAAATAGCAATGCACTTTCATTCATTTGTTTCATATTTTTTTTCACATTTCTCTAATGATATTTTTCCTTGAGTCATAGAATGATTGGCTCATATCTTGTTTTTTGATATTTATACGCAGTTTTTTTCTTACGTCGGTGGTGGCGAAGTTCAAGATTAAGGGAGACTTGTAATCATGTTTGGCTTTCCTTTCCAGTAAGAAACAGAGTTGTATGATTATTTGTTAGTTTTATAGGAATGTATAACACAAGTTAGCAATGTATTATTTTTGTTTAACATTTGAATGATTTTTTGTATGACATTATAATTTGTGCAATTTATTTTATATTATGCAATGGATTGTATTTTTTGTATATGGTATTTTATTTCTATTATAAGAAATTAAATGAAAATTTAATTTAAAAATTAATAAATATATAAATTTTTTTTTAAACATTTAAATTTACGATACGCAAAAATGTATGTCATCTTCATTTATGACATGACCTTTCTTGACAGGGGCTTTCTTGATACGCATTGCGTGTCATTAACACGCGCGTCGTAAGGTTACGACACGCGAATGCGTGTCGTCTTCCTTTATGACAGGGCCTTCCTTGATACGCATTGCATGTCGTAACCGCGCGTCGTAAATGCGCGTCGTCTATAGACGACGCACAAAAACGCGTCGTCTCTCTTTATGACAGGGCCTTCCTTGACACGCATTTGCGCGTCGTCTGAGCGTTTTACGACGTGCAATGAGCGTCGTAAAAGGCCTTTTTTCTAGTAGTGCATCTAACAGAGAATCTTATGTTACTAAAAATCCGTTCGACTACCCCCTTCGCAACGGAAAAAAAACCTCTCGTGATTTACAGAGACAAATCAGGAAAGAGTCTAAGAATCACCCCTTGCATGAAGGCAAGGTGTTTGCAGAAAAGGTGCTTCACTTTCTTGGCCCACGTGGTGGATATGCAAGAAAAGGGTAAGGAAATCAAACACATATCACAGGTGTGAAACTACTCAAACGTATTTCTAGAGGATCTGCCTAGAATACCTCCAATCAGACAGGTCGAATATAAACCGACCTAATCCCAGGTGCATCAATAATGACAAGATCTCCTTATCGTCTAGCTCCATCAAAAATTCAAGAACTATCCCGTCAATTCCAAGAATTTCTTGACAAAGGAGTTATCCAACCAAGCTTCTCTCCATGAGGAGCTCTGGTACTTCTGTCAAATAGAAGGATGGATCGTTTAGGGTATGCATCGACTGTCGAGATTTGAACAACCTCACAATCAAGAACCGATATCCACTGCCGAGGATCGATGACCTGTTCGACCAACTACAATGATCTCGTTGCTGCTCAAATATCGATCTAAGATTTGGCTATCATCAAATTAGAGTCCAAGAAGCAGACATTCCAAAGACAACATCCATGACTCGGTACAGTTACTACAAGTTTCTGGCTATGCCATTCAAACTGACCAACAAGACCAAAAAAAGTACGCTAATTCCTAGGGCTTACAATTTATTAAAGGAGATTCATCGAGAATTTCTCAAAAATAGCCAATCCTCCCACTACTCTAACCCAGAAGAAAAAGAATTTCGATTTGGGAGACAACCAAGAGTCTGCTTTCCAGAAATTGAATCCATTATTATGCAGTGCACCAATTTTGTCTCTTATAGAGAGAACATAAGACTTTGTAGTATTCTGTGATGCCTTACACCAAGGGTTAGAATGCATACTGATGCTAAGAAACAAAGTCATTACATATGCATCCTGACAACTCCAACTAAACAAAACCAACTACATTACCCCTGACTTAGAGTTAGGAGTTGTAGTGTATGCCTTTAAGATTTTGAGGCACTACCTCTATAGAACGAAAGTGTGTCGAATTGCTAAATGATTACGAATGTGAAATTCGTCATCGTTCTGAGAAAAGAAAATGTTGTAGCAGATGCTTTAACCATGAAAGAGCAAGCAAAGCCACTTCGTAAGAAAGTATTAACCTTAACCACCCAATCCAATCTCACCACCACAATTTGAGACGCCTAGCTAGAAGCACTTAAACCCAATAATATCATGGAGGAAAACCTATGAGGCATGTACAAATAGTTTAAACTCAACGAAGAAGGAACACAATATTCCATGAACTGAATTTGGACCCCAAAGTTTGGTGAATTCAGGAGTCTAGTTCTAAACGAAGCTCATAAATTGAGATATTCAATATACCCTGGATTAGATAAGATGTATCTTTATCTTAAGAAGCATTATTGGTAGCCCAACATGAAGTTAGAAATTGCCATCTATAACTGTAAATGCTTGACTAGCTCCAAAGTTAAAGCAGAGTACCAGGAGCCGCCTGGTCTACTACAACAACCGTCAGTACCGAATTCGAAATAGGAATAGATAACCATGGACTTCATAATGAAGCTACCAAGGACATCAAGCGGTTATGAAACCATTTGAGTAGCGGTTGACCGTTTAATCAAGATTCCTATTTCCTAGCCATCAAAGAAATTGAAAAGAAAAAGAAACTCACCAAGACCTATCTCAAGGAGATAGGTTAGGCTTCATGATCTGCTAATATGTATTATCTCAATTCCAAACAGCAGATTCACCTCCATATCTTGAAAATCATTGCAAAGGTTCCTAGGAACCAAACCCGGCCTGAAACTGCATATCATCCATAGACGGATGAACAGGAAAAAATAAAGATACAAACTCTTCAGGACACGCTCCGTGCTTGTGGGATGGACTTTGGTAATGCATGAGATACTCACTCACCACTAGCTAAGTTTTCATATAACAACAGTTAGCAGACTAGCAAAAACGTTGTTCCATTTAAGGCCTTGTACGGACGAACACGCTGTTCTCCGATATGTTGTGCAGAAGTTGGATACACATAAGGTTTAGAAATCTAAATACATAAGGTTTCAAGATCCGGTCGGGAACAGACCACAGATCCGATCAAACGATAGCATAAAGCATCACAAATCATGTAGCACATAAAAGCATTTTAGGCCTATTCCCTAATTAAGCTAGTGCTCTTGTCAATTTAGTTGTGCTACCTAAAATATAAAAGACACACTCCTCATGATCATCGCTTAACATTCTAAGTTTAAGTCTAGAAATAGATCCTTATTCCTAGTTCGCTTAAACTAATGCTCTGATACCAACTCTGACATCCCCATTTTCACGGCCATAAAAGACCAATTTTGTTTATGCTTTGTAGAAATCAGAGTATCTCTTTTAATAAAAATGTTGTGGAATTTGTTCCCAGAAAAACATGATAAATACATTATCAAAGCATTTCCGAAGAAATGTATTTTTATTCATTTTAAAACATTTAGGATGTCATCATCAATACAGAAACATAAGCATAAATAACACTTACATTTATTATCACTAGTGATTTATATCTCCTTAATCTCTCAGTGTAATGTAACTTCATATCAACACCAATGATACAAATTAATTGAGTGGGTAAGGTTGGGAAACCTGGTGAGTACCTAGGGTTTTCAACCCACAATAATATAGTCAATTTTTTCTTCACATAATTCATGTCAAGCAATTAACCCGTTTACCCATCCCCATTTTCTTCATTTAATATTCCCTAAAGATTTATCTTAAGGGTCATCCCCTATATCGTATTTACCTCTCATCTCTTTACATCATATTTCCTTATATCTTCATTCCAAAGGACTTTTCCTAAGGATCATCGCCTACATCGCATAGACAGTATTGATTCAGGGATTAGCCCCTAAATACATGTCTAGTAAGGGTTAGAGTATCATCGCATGAATACATAGTTACTGTTGGATTAGATGTCTAAGCCCATAACTATATTTGGTATGTACTTGACCCGAGAGTAGCATGGTCCATTTGGGTTGCATGGCACCTAATCAATTTGAAGGATAGACTTTTTAGAAGAGGTTACTTATGATTTGTTAATATATTATAAGTTCTAATATATTAATATGAAATCATATTATTTAATTAGTATTGGTCAAGAATTAATTTGGAATTAATTCTGTGATCAAAAGAGACAAATTAAAATATATGGAGATTGATTATGTAAATCATTCATTCTTATATATATATATATATATATATATATACACACACACACACATATATATATATATATATATATATATATATATATATATATATGGGCTTATGGTCCATAGTTCTTCATGTTGGGCTAAACCCACGTGGTAACCCATGGAGCATTAAGAATGTGGAAAGTCATTCACATTAGGGTTTGCATGGTGTAACCCTAATTAAGTCACACTATATAAGGACCCCTCTAGTTCATGAAATTGGCATTAGTGCATTCACAAAGAGGGCAAGTCGATTTCTAGAGTGAAAGTAATCTCCTATCACGTTATTCCAATTGTCGGTGGTGTTGTGTCATTCCATTTGAGGTGCAACACTTGGGGCACTAAGCTCTTAAAGGTTCAAGACTTCAAGCTACACCAAAAGGTATGTTATCCAACTAAAATTTTGTAGTATAGATACTGCACGATACGCTAGTTAGGATGATGCTTTGGAATATGGAATTTTGCATGTATAATAGAGAAAACATAGATCCAAAGCACATAGGGTTTCATGTATAGCATAAGAGTGTTAGAATGCTCAAATACTTAACAGTGGTATCAGAGCCTAGGGTTGTTTTCAATCATACTTGATGTTGTTGCTTGAAAAGCGACTTTTTTTGCTGTCTGATCAGGGGAATTGATGAATCCAGAGTAAGACTCGACGAGTCCACTCACAAACTCATCCAACTCGTCGAGTTTGTTCATGCACTCGTCGAGTTGGTGCCCCCGACAGCATACTTTCGAGTTTTAGGGCTGGAATTGGACTAGGATCATTACCCTAAGCTGTTTTGGAAATTGTAAACCAATTTTTGATGTGGTAATGATCATACTAATCCAATTCAAAAGAGAACTGTCAAAAGTTTCATGTTTTGTATTAGTTTAATGGTTAGGCAAATTACATGAAAATTGTTTGATTTGAATTGTCTTGTTCATATGAGTTTATTCTAGATCATGAATATTGCTAGACATGCTTGTTAGTTTATTTGATGATCTAAATAGCCTTTAATGGATTCCATAACTTTTCCTCACATTATTGAAAACCAAAAGTTTTATTAAAAGAGATCATCAATCTTTGAGGTT